ATATATAATAGTGATATATAATTTTTCCACGACGATGATAAATATTTTCAAATATATTTGAAGGAAGTGAATCTGGGCAATGCGCAACATAGAGCATCGCTGGCATTACAAATAGCACAATACTTGTGCTCGTTCGACGGCGAGAAAACCGAAGATACGAACGAGAAGGAGGAAAGCGATGAAAAATCTCTGAAAAAAGCGGTTGAGATTATTCGAGAATTTGCGCAGCCTGTTGATGTCGAGGAAAAGGAACACAACGGTATATATATTATGTTGAGTATACAATGCCTTGTATAATTTCGTTCATTATAATATTTTTTAATCGAGATACTCTTAGTATCGAAACTTCATTAACAATAAAAAATAATCCAATAGCGATATACAGCGTATAATCATTAATAAAGTGTATTAGAAAACATAAAACAACATGAAGTCATTAATAAGTATATTTGTACTACATTTTTCCCACAAAACGGTAATTGCGCGATTTTGCTTAAAAAAATTTATTAGATAAATTTAGACTGATTCATGTTTTCATATCATCTTTATAATATAGAATATGATACATGCCTTTCCTACATTTAGAATGTTTCCCTCAAGCGTTAAACTTTATAAATAGTTAGTTTAAACTTGACCAAATTTGTCATAACTTGAAAGCTAAGTTGGGAAACACCGAGATGGTAAACCACCGTTATGTATAACTTTTGTTGCAGAACTGAAGATGATATTCGAGCGGCAGAACAACTTGCGGCCCATATTCAGCGCCCTATTCCGTATGAACCGCCGCGAACGTCAACACGCCAGTCCTCTGCGGCGATTGTTAGCTGAAGCTGGGATTGTGTATTCAGAGCTACAGGTGAGTGTGTTTATGCACGTGATTAATCGCGTAATAATCAGATCTGTTTACACCACGCGATATCAATGATGTTTCCGTTTCTTTTCACTTCCGATTTAGAACGTTTAATTTGCTATCAAAATATCCGGAAATGAAATAACATTCAGCCTAAGAGTTTCAAATTGATAGATCGCGAAACGTTCGAATTCATGTCACGCTCGAGTTGAAAGACTCGATTTACGATCGAACAAACGATCTTTTTATCGAGCATTCACGGAAAATCGCGTTTCAGGACGCGTGGACTAACGCGAAGAAGGACGGATTGGAGCATTTGATGAAGGAGAAACTCCCAACAGTCGACGAGAAAAAGATGGAGGATCTGATGATTATCCTCGAGCGTCACTTTGACCCGGAAAAGAAGCTGAAAGGCAGAACACCGGAGAAGAAGGGTCTCAAGTTAAAGAACGAGAAAAAGATAAGCGACGACAAGGAGAATAACAATAAGAGTGACTCGGGCCACGACAGCCCCGACAGCCCGGACACTACGACATCTGGGTCTCCGGTTAAAATGAACGGCGACAACAGCGAAATTAAGCAAGAAGAGTGCGCTTTGACGCAGGAGTGTGGTCAAGCCGTTTAACGATGCTGTTGCTCTTCGACCTCTCTTTTACGCGCCGCAAAGCGGGGAGCACTTCGTGACCGTCCGCGTTTCTACTGCTCGTCGCCGGCCTCGACCTCGAACGAGCGAACGTGGACTCTTTTTTTTTTTTTGTTGCCATAATAGTCGCGGATGACGAAAAATAAAATTGATAAGCAACGCGAATGACGAACATAGATTTAGCGCGTCAAATACAGCTCGCGTTTAGCCGGACTTTACAGTAAAAGCGTGCTGTGTGCTTGTTCACCACTAGATCTCTATTCCTCAGACGAAAAGAGTCGCGAAGGAATTCCCGTTTATTTTTTTGCGGCAATTCTAGGGTAGACGCGTTTAGAATAAAGTTTACGATTCGTCCAACGGACGATGTTGTGCGTGATCAAAGACGAGTGTTATTTGTTACAGTATTGCGTTTTTTTTTTTCTTTATCCCTTTAGTTCTTCCTTTTATTTTTTTTTTTAATTTTTGTTCGCACTGGTACGCCGGCAGGATTAAAAAAAAAAGACCGGTTTCCTGTGAGACACCGTCGAATTAAGCTCAATGTACAAATAACACGTTAAGCGATGTTTAGTTTGTTACGCGCAGTTATATTTAATATTGTTTACATTTCATAGTTTTATACTCTTTTTGTTTTCTCTCCTCTTCCCTCCCTCTGTTTCTATTTCTTTTATTTATCCCGAGAATTCGTACGCTCGCTACTGTGGCGAGAGCGTCCGTTTAATAGACTGCTGCAATTGTGAAAGGCATAGGAAATGTCGCGGATCCGCGTAGTTACCGCATAAGTTTACGATGTGTACAATATAATGTGCACGATATTTTCTACTTTTTACCGTTTAAGTCGCGCATGAGGCGCATGTGTGGTATTAGAGAGATATATTTTTGTATCAATAATGTAATTTCCTTTCTGCTGTGAGATCTCATTGTACGAACATTGATTAATAAAGATTCTAGTTTAGTTGTAACACTTTGAATTTTAAACCGCGCAAATTCGGATTTACAACGCCGATCTCGTATGATAAAATACAACATTTTTCCTAAATTAAATCTCCATGTCCGTACTTCGTGCTTCAGCTTTGGTGGTGAATCTGACCGTTTGGTTTCGAGTTTTATTTATTTTATTTGAAAAAAAAAACGATTGTATAAACTCGTGATGTATTGCATATATACTGCTTCTAGTTGAAAATCAAAATGCATTGAGTATCAAATAGAGAATATATATAAAGAATGGTTTATTAAAATATCTAAAAATATAATTGCATGGAAAGATTTTGCTGAAAAAGTATCTAATACTAAGTACAAATCTGAAAAATAATTTTGTTAACCATCAAAATAATATGCAAGCCGCTGGTTGTTATAATATTACAAATTTTTGCATTTCGTCATCACAGTTGAAATTCGTACGTAACTATTTTGATAGTCTAATAAAATTATTTTTATACCTGTAGCTAAATTTTTAGATATTTTAACAAAATTGCCATGTCGATATAGATCTAAAAATAATTTCGTTAGCTTGTTAACATAATTATATAGAACTCTCAAGCTGGTTTCCGAAGTGTCAACTTTTTCTATAACATTATATATTTGAACGTTTTATATCACTTTATCTTGATAATCCAAAAGCTTCTAATACATCGTTCTCTCGTCATGCTTACACATCTGGCAACATATAAAAAAATGAGGCATTACAATTTCTCTTAATTAAACCATAATGCAGACGCACTTGAAACAATCGTATAATAATTAGCATTAAGATTCGAGAGCCTCGCGACGCATGATAAATCTCTGCGAAGAAGTAGAGAAATTTCAGGCTCGGTGGAAAATATTACACCTGGTGCTACCTGCATAATATCGGGCGTGATTTATTTCCGCGCAGAACACGCGGCGATTATTAATTGACGAGCGCACGCCACGGCGCGTGAATCGCGCAGGAGCGTTCGGCAAATACGCTCCCGGCTATCGCGGACTTAAACGCGGCTCGGTAAAGTTCTTAATAAGCAAAAAAGTCGCCGGTTTAACGGGACTTAGCTGCTTACTTAGGAGGGAAAAAAACGGAGGAAATGGAAAGCGCTCGCGATACGCTTTTCCGCATGCCTCGCGGTAGAACTTCCCGCGCGTCCCTCCTCAAAACCTTTCTCGCAGCTCGGTCCCTGGAGAGAAAACGGAAATGAATTAAATGTGTGTGCGGACCGTTGCGCGCATCCGCCACGCGGATTTCCAATGCTGTATGTCAAAACGCCCCGAGGCGTGAACGGCGTGAAGCTCCTGCGAGGAGAATTGAAGAAATACGCTTTTCCCCGGTAACTGCCCGCGCGATTCTTCCGCGCGTCCTTCTGGGGCGACGGGCACGACGGGATCAGATCTGATCCGCGCGAGCGCGACGCGCTCGGCTAGAAAATTGAGTTTTTCCACATGCAGCGATTAGACGGAGTACTGTCCTGTAACTTCATGCGGCTGCCCCCCCCCTCCCCCCTAATATTGTGGAATATACGTGTAACTGCGTGCTTGGGAAAAAAACTGATCCCTCGTGTACAGGAAGCTCGATTTTAATTCCGGTATTCGAGTAGTAATTTAAGATACCTCGATCGAGCTTCTGGCTGCGCAAAACAGATTTTACATGATATAAAATTAGATGTACGGTTTTACAGATCTGTACGGGATTAAATTATTTACAAATTTAATCCCGTACAGATCTGAAAATAATTTTGTTAGATCATTAAAATTACGTAAAAAGCTAAAAGAGTCGATGGCAATGCTGCAAAAAATTTTAATAGTAATCAGAGTTTAAATGTCCCGCATAATTATTTTGATGCTCCAATTAAAATTGTGCAAAATCGTTTTTTCCGTGTAGTAATCCAGATAGCACAAAGAGTTCAAAAAGAATTCCGTGGCATGTCATCAAATCTGAATTCATTTTCAGATGTAAAAAGAATTCTTTTTCTAAAAAGTTCTAAAAAGAATTCTTATTCCATCTGAAAATGAACTCAGAATTGATGACACACGATTGAATGCTTTTTGAATTCTTTTTGAGCTCTCTGCGCTATCTGGAAAATTTCTGTGGTACGGAAAGTCGATTCTCCTTAAATCACAGTTGTGCGAAAAATTAATTTTTCAAAGTAAGAAATCGGCTTTATTTATACTTGAAAGGTGTGAGAGAGTACTGTGCGGACTACGCCACATCTAAAATTTAAACTGAAATTACGATCTAGAATAAAAATGTGTGGTTCCGTAAATCAGGATGCAATATCTAAATTTTGTAGAAGAGGACAGATATATCTATATACATATAATGCTTTTAGATAACGAGAGCTTTCTGGTTAGAAATAATATATGTTTCCACGCGCACGCTTGGGAAATAAGTTACCTGGATAAGGGATGAAAAAACATATTTCAAATTGTGCGCATGGCTTCTGAAAATTTAATATTATATATATCCTTGATGTTCACTAGTGTGGCATTACAGTTTATAGTATTTATTTATATGAAAAATTTTCAGATGACTTTTGTAGCTTTCCGAAGAATGAAAAAAGCGATGGTATAATTGTTGACAATTGACTGTAACGACATAATATTTTCACACGAAAAGTATATATTTGAAAAAAAAATCTTTTTAAAAAAGAAACAAATACGCCAAGTGCATAAAAAAAGTATTCAATTCTTCTTAATAAACAACGGACATGAAATAAGTGTAATTATCCAAGTATTTCATTACGCAAGATACATAAGATGGACTGAAAGTGGCTAAAATTGTTAACTGGATTATAGTGAAGAAAAAACTTGGCATGCCCGGGTCACATTAAAACGCAATATTCTAGACCAGTATGGTTCTATCGCAACATTCTGCAGATATACATAATGTATGAAAACAATAATTCAACAAAGAACAGGTGTTAACAATCTCTTACTAAACTTGTAAATTTGTTATCTATAATGTTTCTAAATATTTTATTTCTTCATTATTTACATTACATCTATTATTTTTGAGTATTTTTCATGTCCCACAATATCATTATAAACATACGTATATATTGTATTTATATACATATGTTTATTATTTTATATTTTAATTTAATTATAATGCAAATACTACGTTGGAATAATGTTTTCACTTACAATTAATGCGACCCGGACACGCCAAGTTTTTTCTTCACTATAATCCAGGTGACAATTTTAACCACTTTCAGTCCATCTTCTATGTGTGTGTGTGTGTGAGATAAGAGATTAATTTAATTTAATTTAATTTAATTTTTAATTCATTTTTTATATGTAGACATTGTGAACACCAGCTTAATGGACAAAACACTTTACATATATGTGTCACACGTACGATTGAAAAAAAAAATGTTATTCGGACTGGTCGCAATCGAAAAATACTGATGACGTCATATAATAAAAGTGTTTTTAGATTTTTGAATTACGGTTTTCATTTATAAATAATTTTAATGTATAAAGTTTGTCGATGACAACACTCCAGCTAAAGCTAGCAGTAGCGTCGCGAATTTGGCAGCGAAACTGAACATATACACGATGACGTTCACGCATCAAGCGATCATGTCAAGCGGTTATATTTTTAATTTACGCACTAGGCGTCGCGACGCTACCGCGTCGCTTGATTCCGAAACGCGGTTCGTACCGATCCTGCTGCCAGTAGGATTTCATCCTTTGGTCGAAAACTTCAAGAAAGAGCTCTGTCACAATCACCGGAAATCAAACTGTGACTCGACAAAGCATGAAATGTCGTTTTTATCATCGTCCTTTGATGGCTGAACGAACCCGTTCAGTAATGATATAATAGTGATAGCCGGAACATTTTCATATACTAGGGACGAAGCGCAACACATAGAATTCACGAAGAATCCCGTATTGTAGCAGTTCTGTAAATCATATGTTGCATATTTAAGCCATAGTGGTACTACAAACTATGAATAAATTTTCTTTAAGCTCTACCTTTATGCAGTAATAATCATGATAACATTATTACGCTTTATATATAACAGCAAGTGAATAACAGTGAGAGAATAGTTAAAGCGATTATTAACTCTATAAATTATTATTAAATGAATAAATTTTCTTTAAGCTCTACCTTTATGCAGTAATAATCATGATAACATTATTGCGCTTTATATATAACAGGAAGTGAATAACAGTGAGAGAATAGTTAAAGCGATTATTAACTCTATAAATTATTATTATTATTAATTCTATAAATAGCATTGGTAATTAACACTGTTAGACTTATTACACATACATTATTATTATATTATTATCAGTTTATCGTTTAATTATTATTAATCAAAAACAGTAAAATATACGTAAAAAGAAGCGGATGATGCATGAGAGAGAGAAAGAGGAAAAATAGTGAGTCAAAAAATGTTAATTTTGCTGTGCGATGAGGAAAAAAAAATTGAAATCAGACGCGAATAGCAAAAGTAAGTGTGTGTGAATGTAAAAATTTATTTCTGAAATGAAACAAATTACGAAGACACGAGGATGCATAACATCTTTTTTTTTTGTATTCTTAGACTTGTGTCTATTAGCTTTATTTTCAGTCGGTCATCATTTTTTCTACATATTTTTTTCCTAATTATGCGATAAATACTTTCTAAGATTTAGAGTGAATATCATTCTGAAGTTTTCTTTCAAGATTGACTCAATTTCCATCCTTTAGAGTAAAATTCCGTTCCAAAGAATTTAGAGAGAATTTACAATCATAACTTTTCTAGATTTTAAATTTCGATTTCGAATCTTTGGAAAATTTTGTCTGAATATAAAAAATGTAGCGAGTTACAATCACAATTTCCGTGCCGCTTACAAAGGCATTGTGTCTATATTTTGCGATCCACGAACCGAAACATCGAATGAAAATAAATGACATCTGTCCTGCAGCTGAAGTCGCCCGCGGACGTAAAGCGAATGTGAATTTCGGAC